TTCTCACATCTTCGCCAACAAGTGTTGTTGGTGTTTTTTTTTTTTTTTTTTTTTTTAATGTGGTCCAGTCTTACCTGTACTTCTCTTCAAGGCTGGGGTTCTGAGATAAGCAGTTCAGTTGGAGTGATCTCCAAAGAAACTTCATCTAAAGTGATCCCTGACCAGATTCTTGCGTGTGCATGCCAGTACAGGGTCTGGCATAGTCTGTCGCCAGAATCAGCTTATGCACATGCTGGTGGTTTCAATTGCTGGGTCAGTTCTGTTTCCAGTCTTTTACACAAACCAATGGGTGTTGCAGTCCAGCCTGATTCTGCCCAGCACACACTCGACTCTCACATAAACCAGTGGGAACTGTAGCCTAGTTGGAGCAATGCACAATAACCCCCATCAGGCCCACCCCCTGCCCTGGTTCTCATCTTTGCCAGTATGTATAGCAGACTGGTCCAATTTGTCCCATGTCCCATTCAGCTCTCATACAAGTCAATGGGCAGTGAAGTCTAGTTCACCCAACCAGCCCCACTATCCAGCCCACACACATACTGGTAGGTGCTGTTCTGTCCAGCCAGGTCAGCTCCAGTTCTGTTTTTCATGTTCTTTAGTAGGAGTGGTAACCCAAGAGGGAGATGGCCATTATTTCCCTCCTGGGCCCATCCCCACATCATGGACTCTCCAGGTGGTAGTGCAGTTTAACTTGACAGAATTAGCCCCCAGTGCCAGCCTCTGCCAGCTGATGCTGCGGCAAAGCCCACCAACCCTCACCCACTCTGATTTATGTGTGCACCAGTAGGGACAGTCAATCAAGCCTGGCATTTCCTGATCTAGCGGACATGAGGCCCACAAGTTTGGTCTGCCCCATCTTAGCTCACACTCTCCAGTGGGAGTGGCTGTTCTGTAGGGGGACATCTGCAGCCTCCCTACCAGGTCCACCTCCTTCCCCCTGGTTCTCACATGTTCTGGTTGCGTGCTGCAACCCAGTCAGGCATGGCCTGCCTTGCTTTGGCATTTGCCAGTGTGTGTTGTAGCCTGGCCCAACCCGGCTGGCCCACCCTCAGATCCAGCTCAGGCTCGTAGGTGTTTCAGCCTAGCCCAACCCATCCTGGCCCAGTTGGCACCCAGTCCCAGCAGTAATGTGTACTGGTGTGTGTTTTGACCGAACCTGGCCCGACCCATACTCTATTCTGGTGCTCAGATTCGCCAGCAGGTTGATGTGAACTGGTTCAGCTTGGTCTGTCCCCGACCTATGCCAAATGTGTCCTGGTGGGTACCTTTCTCTGGCCTGGCCTGGGTTGCTCCCTATTGTGGTGCTTGCCATCCCCTCAGGGACTGTGTCCTGTCAGAGCAGTTGCCCAGGCTCCTCCATCAGAACCTCTCCCAATGCCAGATCTCGTGCATACAGGTGGGTCCATGGTCCAGACCTACTTAGTCCACCTTCTGTTCTAGCAGGAACAGTGGCCTTTCCTGATTGGCCTCAACCCATTCTGGTTCTTACTGTTGGATATTTCAGCTCAGCCAAGGCTGGTCCACACCCAGACACAGCTCACACATGGCTCAGTAGGGGCAGAGACCTAGCCTAGTCCATCCCACATCTACCCTGGTCTTCCAGAGCACCATTTGGTGCTGGAGTGTAGCCTAGCTTGGTGCGCCCAGCCCCAGTCCACACTTGTGTTGAGGGATACTGCTGCCATATCCAGACCAGAACTCAGCCCCTACTCTGGCCCCCGCACTCACCAGTGTGAATGCCAACCCAGCCAGGGTGTCCCCTTAGCTCCACAACTGGGCCTGTTTCCAGCCGTAGATCACACATGTGCCAGTGGTTGCTCTGACCCAGCTTGGCATAGTCCCTCACCTATCTTGGCCTTTGCCTTAGATGCTCTAGCTTGGCCTGAACTGTCCTGTCTTCCGTCCAGATTTTTGCTGGGGGTGGGGGAGGAGTGGGGAGTGATGGAACCTGGCTCTGCTCTGTCTATTCCCATCCCTGGCTCATGCACACCAGTAAGTGTAAGAGCCTAGCTCAGTGTGACCTGTGCTCCATCCTGATTTCTGTTCTTGCTGGTGAGCTAAGGTTTGCTCAACCTTGCTTGATCTGCCCCCTTCTATAACCAGCCCACACATTAGCCAACAGTTGGAGCTACTTTGCCCAGCTTGCCGACCCCTGGGCCTGGGCCGTTTGATCCTTAGAGTTATGAACCACTAGGAGAGTTTCCCACGTTCCCCTACTTGACCCACTCTGAGATCCAGATCTCATGGATGCCATTGGGTGCTAGGCCGGTGTCCAGCATAGTCTTCCCTTCCATCATGGCCTTGTATAAACTGGTGAGTGCTGTGGCCTGTTCTTCCCTACACCCTGTTTTAGGATGCACCTGCAGGTGCTGCAACCTGGACATGCCTATACTGTTGTCAGTTCTTATGCCTGTGAGTGATGGCAGGTTCCATGGTCACACTTAACTCAGCCTGTTACCACCCCAACTCTTGAGCTAACCAGCGGGAATTATATTTCCACAGGGTTGGGTCCATACATCTCCCACAGAATCTACCCTGGATCTGTTTCTCTTGTGTGCTGGTTAGTGTCATGGCCCTGCCTAATGTGACCTGTCCCCTAATCTGACATTCTGTCAGGTGTTAGGATCTAGCCCTGGTAGATGGGCCCTGAGCCTAGCTTTCACATGGACTGGCGTGTGGTGGTCAGTATTGTTCAGTGGTAACAAGTCCTACACAGGACTCACACATATGCTGGTGTATCAGTCTGACCCATCCAGGTCTTCTGGCCTCTCCCCTCCAAACCACCAGGTCTCAGTTCCCTCGCTTACCTTCAAGTAAAGTTACCTTGTTGTTGGGAGACCATCAGGATGATTCCTCACCAACACACACAGTGGCCTCATTCTTGGACGTATCTAGGCAGCAATTCCCCACTCCCAAAACCCAGAGCACACTGCCGGGTGGTCAGCAGGCAAAGCCCAGTGCCTACTGTCACGCTGGCTGCCCAAATCCCAGGACTAGCTCACTGCATGGCAGCGGTGGCTGTGGCCAGGGCCTCAAGCATTAAGTCCAACCTGGCTTGAGTACTCCCAGCAGCTGCCATTAAGAAATAACTAGTTTAAAAATGTTTACAAGCCAGAGTCCAAAGATTTCCTAAAGTAGCAGCAATGCGTGGAGCTATTTCTCTCTCTCTTTTATTTAGTTATTTGATTTGAAAGAATTAGGGAAAGAAAGATCTTCCATCATGGCTTTACTCCCCAAATGACCACAATAGGCAGGACTGGGCAGGTTAGGAGCCAGGATCTTCTTCCAGGTCTCCCATATGAGTGCAAGGATCCAAGGCATTGGGCCTATCCTCCACTGCTTTTATAGGTTTATTAGCAGGGAGTGGATCATAAGTGGAGCAGCCAAGACTTGAACCAGAGTCCATATGTGGTGCTACAGGTGGAGATACTTGCCTGCTATATTGCAGTGCTGGCCTGTTTCTTAAAGTAAAAGGGTTGGCATTATGGCACAGCTGATTAAGTGATCACCTTCAGCTTTGGGATCATATAAAATTCAGTTTGGATTCTGTCTGCTGTGCCTCTGATCCAGCTCTTTTCTAAAGTGCTTGGGAAAACACCAACAGATAGTGACACAAGTCCTTGTGCCATTCAAACCTGGGTGTAATGGAGACTCAGATGGAATTCTGAACTCTTGGTTTAGCCTGACCCATCGCTGGCCATTGCAGTCATTTGGGGGAAATGCACCAGCAGAAGCAAGGTGCCTCTGTTTCTCCTTCAGTCTGTAATTCTGCCTTTCAAATAAATACTTGGGACTGTACCATCCATTTGTGAGACCAGGATAGAATTCCTGGCTCCTGGCTTCAGCGTGGGCATTTGTGAAGATCACTCTGTTTTTCTCCCTCTCTTTGTCACTCTGCCTTGCGGACAAACAAGCAAACTCCCACTTTAAGGAAGCTGTGTTTTTTTAAATTCAATCTTCTGGTTGAAAAAGTGGGTGATTTTGCAAAAAGTACATGGAAGTTTTAAAAGTTATGCAGATTTAGCTTTGCTAAAATTAATCTTCTCATGTTCTCCAAATCCTGCCTCCCCTCCTTTTTTTACTTTAAAAAAAAAAAAATCATCCTGTGACTGGTGTTTGTCATAGCCAACTAAGCTGCTTCTTGTGGCGGTTAGCATCCCATGAGGTGCAAGTTTTGAGTCCTGGTGGCTCCATTTTCCATCCAGCTCCCTGCTAATGATCTGAGAAGGCAGTGGAGGATGGCGCAATTTCTTGGGCCTCTACCCACATGGGAAGCCCAAAAGAAACTTCTGGATCCTTGTGTTGGACTGGCTCAGTTACAGCTGTTGCAGGCATTTGGGGAGTGAGCCAATGGTTGGAAGGTCCTTCTCTTTCTGTCTCTCCTTCTCTCTGTAACTTTCCCTATCAAATAAATAAATAAATAAATATATATATATTTTAAATGTATGTCCATCCTAAAACATTTAGTTTGCAGAAATTGCTGCTAGGTTCATTGTATTCAGATTGTGAAACCTTTTTTTGTTTTGTCTTTTTTTTTTTAAATTTGAAAGATAGAGGCGGGCAAAGATCAAGCAAAGTGGTCCTTCTCTTCTGTTGGGTCATTCCCCACTGAAGCTAACAACTGAAACTCAATTCAGATCTTCCCGTTGGGAGGCAAGGGCTCAGATAGATGAGCCATCATCTGCTGGGTTGGAAATGTTGTGTCTAGGACTCTAGCAAGGTACTCTGAGATGGTGCCAAGTGTCCCAAATGGTGTATTAGCTCCTGTGCCAAATGCCTGCCCCAGATTCTAAAATCTTAAGACCAGTAATGTGAAGGATTCTGTCTTTGAAGCATGTTTGCATTTGAGTTGTAGTGATGAAAGTTTTCACTAACTCTTTAGTTATTTGAGCTAAAATTTACATGTGACTGCAGAAGCTTGTTTATTCAGGAATGGTTTATGTAGATTTTTACTGGACTGTCTTATTTGACTTTTTTTTTTTTTACCGTTTTGTGTTCAGGTCATGGCAAAACCCCGAAAGATGCAGCATCAGTTCGTGCCACACATCCAATACCAGCAGCCTGTGGGATTTATTATTTTGAAGTAAAAATTGTCAGTAAGGGAAGAGATGGGTAAGTGCAAATTTTTCATGGGAAATTTGCTGTTCTTGAATAATTATTTTTGTTTTGGTTCATAATGTCTGTGATGTAATTAAAAAATTACAATCTTGGAAAGTGTGGTAATTGGAAAAGTGTAGTATAAATATTCCAGTGTGGCAAACTGGATCTGATTCTGCTTAAATATGAATTGAAGCCAAAGCGTGAATTGATGCTATTAGCTGAGTTTTTCTGGTTGGTTTAACATTAAAGTGGATAATTGAAATTAAATAGTAGACAGTGATTTGTTTTCCATGTATTTTTCTTTTTCATATAAAGTTTTATTTTTAATGTTGCTTATGTAGTTGAGAGGGATATACGCTAATGTGGGTCTCCAGTTAGGGTGGGGAGGGTTGAGGTGTGGAGAAAGGTGGATACATGTTTTTATTTTTACTCCTGTGTTTGCAGTGGAGGAAGGGGATGGGGACACTCCTTGCTGTCAAGCTACTTCAGCACCCAGGGATTGGAAATGATCCTTTGATAATGCCTTAGAGGGAAAGAGTGTTCAGAGGGTGTTACTTGAGTGGTTTTGATAGTTCTGAGATGTTGGTGACTTCTTTGCACCAGGTTTGAGAAAATCTTTCCAAGATCTGTAGGCTGAGCACATCCACCTTAGTGCATCCCCAGACCTAGGAACATGTTGCAGAGCTGGGCCAGGAGAGTTGTCCAACCTGTTCTGTCCATTTTCTGAGGAGGCAGTCAGCATCCTCTGCTGGCCTAGATGAGCTGGCTGTCATATGCCCTGTGTGCATCTGGGCATGCTGTCCACTGCATCCATGTATGCTTCTTACGCTTGCCTTTTTCTGAGTTCTGAGAAGTTTAATCCTCTGAAAGCTGGTTAACCAAAGTTTGTAGGTTTAGAGTTTCAGGTTTCAATGGGGAGTACATGCATGTGATCTCAGCTGTAAGAGATTCCCAGAGCTTAGGGTGTGGTTTATAGTTTCTGCATGAAAACTCCCTGACAGATACTAAATAGCTTTTATATAATATCAAACTCATTTATGGGATTATTAGTGTATTAGTTGAACCTTTTACCAGAAGTTCGTTAGAATTTTTAAAAATTGCACTTTGGGCAAGATGGATATTTTGCAAAGGTTTCATGGGGACTTTGGGTATATTTTAGTAATAAAGAGCTAATTATATGGAATCAATAGATCCAACCTGCAGTATTTCCTAACAGCTTCGCTTACTATCACAGATCCCCAAAAGCAGCCTTAGGTACAATTGCATAGCTATGGAGTCAAAGCTACAGGACTGCCTGGGCAAGTTAACTTGTAGTTGAAATCAGTCTTTTAATCTTTGTTAGTGCTCTTCCTATGTTTAATAAGATTATTTTATTTGTAAAATCAGAGTTACAGAGACAGAGATCTTCCATCCACTATTTCACTCCCTAGATGGCCACATGGCCAGAGCTGAGCTCATCCAAATACAGGATCCAGGAGCTTCTTTCAGGTCTCCCACATGGGTGCAGGATCCCAAGGACTTGAGCCATCTTCCACTGCTTTCCCATGCGTTAAGCAGGGAGCTGTATTGTGAAATGGAGTGGTTGGGACATGAACTGGTGCCCATATGGATGTTAGCATTGGCAGGCAGAGATTGTTACGGCACTGCACCTGTCCAAGATCTTTAGGATTATCTTCATCTCTTGCTCTCCTTAGTCTATTTTTATTCAGGCTCGACTGTATTTTCATGGCTACAAATAATAGGACAGTCATCTTTTTCCTTCCATCTCTGTTAGTCTCCTCCTTATTCAGATCTTAATTTGTTTCCTTATTATTGAAGTAATTGGTTCATTGGCCTCCCAGTTCCTTGTTTTGTAATGTTTTAATCATTTCTTCTTTTATAAAAATGCATTTACTTATTCAAGAGTCAGAGTAAGAGATAAACAGCCCCTGTCTCTAGTTCACAGCCCTGCCAGCAGGTCCATGCTTCCAGTGCCCATAAGCGTTTGGGCTAGGTCAGACATGGGCACTGAGAACTCAGTCCAGGCCTTCTATATGAGTGCTAGGAACCCAGCTGTTTGAGCCATCATTGATATGATGCCTCCTGGCATATTGCATTAGCAGGAAGTTGAAATTGGAAATGGAGCCAGGACATGAACCCAGACATTCAGATGTGAAATGTTGGCCCTCCACTAAGTGTCTTAATAATTAGACCCAATACCCATAAATGTGCTGTTTCTAATACAGAAGTGAATTGTCTGTTTTCCCATCTTGAGATCACTTGGAACAGCTGCTGCTTTGAGGTAAAACTTTGAAACATTTAAAAGAAAATGTGTTTGAGAAGCAGAGACAGACTCACACGCAGACAGCAGTAGAGCTCCCATCATTTGATTCACCTTCCCACGTACCTCCCAACACATACCCAGTGTCAGGGCCTGGACCAGGCCATGCTGGAAGCTGGGACTTCAGCCCATGTCTCCTTTATGGGTGACAAAAACCCAGTGACTTGAACCGTTTCTGCCGCTTCTCAGGAAGTTGGTGAGCACAGCTGGGTCAAACATCTGAAACTTACAGGGTCCTTCATGTTGTGACTGCCTCCTGTATTAATTTTTGTCTCTCTCTTTTTTTTTTCCTATAGCCAGGATTCCTCATCTTTGAATTTTAAAATTAGGTATGTTTTACAGTTAGTAAAATTTATCCTTTTTAGCATGTAGCTCTGAAATTTCATTAATACACACGTGTAGTTATGTAAGTAACAGCAGTCAATAAATAATTAGAACTTTCCACCCCCTACCTGTCTCAATTCCTCTATCCCCTTTAATGTATAACCCTTTCTTCATCTCCACTGATGAGGGTTCCTGTTGCCTTGGCCTTGATGCTTGACAGCACTTTATGTTGTCCAGTTGGTTTTTAAAGAGCTTAGCTGTTTTAGGGAATATCTAATGATTTCTTGGCATGACTTCCAGTTACTTTTCCCTGGTAAATGTTAAAGAATCTCTTACTTCTTACTCTTGCTTCACTGACAAAGTGATGTTTTTCATTCTCTAATTGTCCCTCTGGCTCATATTCCACTTCTCCATGTGTGCCATTTCCTGCCTTACATTTTCCTCCTCTTCCTCTTTTCCTGTTTGTCCAGTTAACTAATCACTCTTTAGTTCCTATTTTAAGAGTGTTTCTTTCAGTACTTTCTCTTCCCTAAAATAGCATTGTGGTGTTTTTTTTTTTTATGCATCTTACATTTTGAGCAGAACAGTTATAATATTCACAGGACTTTAATTGCTGTCTGTATTTAAGGGCAGGAATTTTCACATTTTTGTAACTATAGTATGTAATTTGTAGGTAGGATTCAAATGTCTGAATAAATGAGTAGATGAGTAATACACCAAATCTGTATATGCCTGAAGGGGAAAGTATTTCTGCTGTCAGATTTCCTTTGTCTCACATGAACTTGTTTAAAGTTCTGGGTACAACCTAATGCTTTAGGGATAGAAGAAAAATTGATTTATGAAAAAGGAAAACAGCTGTTATTACTAATTTTGACCATATGATGTCCTGTGGAAAAGTGTTGATTTATATCAAATGATATAAAAATTCTGCTCACAAATTGCAGTGTCTTTGCAAAGGGTGGAACATAAAGAACAGCTTTTGCTTGCAATAATGCCTGCTTGTGCTTGTCTGTATTTGATTATACTTAATTTACAGTGGAATTTACTTTTAATCATTATATTTATTCAGGATTAGGTCTGCTAAATAAATATTTGGGTCTGAGATCTATTTTCTTTCTCAGCCTGCCCCCTCATTTTCTAAAAGACTTATCTATTTGAAAGCCATAGTGAAAGAGAGGGAGAGACAAATCTTCATCTACCGATTCATTCTCCAAATGCCTGCAGTAGGCAGGTCTGGGCTGAAGCCAGGAGTCCCTCTGAGTCTCCCAGGATGGCAGGGACCTTCATCTGTTGTTTCCAGGTACACTAGTGGGGAACTGGATTCAAAGTGGAGAGTGCCTGAATTTCCTCAGGCACTCCAGTAGGGATGTAGGCATCCCAAGCAGCAGCTTAACATGGGGCATAACCCCTGCTTCCCTAAGAGCTCAGCTTTGTTTCCTTTTTTTGTTTTTGTGTTTTTTTAATTGGAAAGGCAGCTTTACAGAGAGAAGGAGAGACAAATGGAAAATCTTTCATCTACTGGCTCACTCTCCGAATGGCTGCAACCGCCACACTGAGCTGATCAGGAGCCAGGATTTTCTTCAGGTCTCTCATGTGGATACAGGGTTCCAAGGCTTCGGGCCATTCTCAGCTGCTTTCCCAGGCCATAAGCAGATAGCTGGATGGGAAGGAGCAGCTGAGACATAAATCGGTACCATGTGGGCTGCTGGCGCTTGGAGGTTGAGAATTAGCCAATAAAGTCATTGCTGCAGGCCCCAGAAATTTTTCTTATAAAGTGTCATGAATTGCATTTTTCAGTGAAATGAAAGAAAGCAGAGTGTATTATGTGTTTGAAAAGACTTAACTTATCCTGCAGTATGCACTGTTTCACTGTGTGCTCTGGAAAAAGGCCTATGAGTGCGATTGTTACTTAATAAATGTAAGTGCAAAATAAAGCTTAGAAGCAGGCATTTGGCCTAGCGGTTGGAATGCCTGTATGTTCCCATCCCAGCTCCAACTCCCAAGTCAAGCTTCATGCTAATGCGTGTACACTCTGGGAGACAGCGGGAGATGGCCCACATGCTTGGGGCTTGGATTGTGTTCTTGACTCCTGCCTTTAGCCTAGCCCAGCCCTGGCTTTGGTGCTGTTTGGCAGAGGATGAATGGATGGGAGCCCTCTCACTCTGATTCCCTGCCTCTTAAAATAATGTTACAAAAATTATGGTTTTTTAGACATCAGTTTAAAGAAAGTTTGCTTTTTGGAGTGAAAAAACTGTATTTCATTTTCTGCCTTCGATTTTCATTTAGGCATGCTTTTGTATATATAAAATAAGCTTAATTTATTAGGACAAAATAGCCTGTCAAATTCTATGAATTTTGAATGTGTTTC